TATAGCTGGGCTCCATGAGGGGCAGGACTTTGTCTGTCTTCTTGCTTCCATATCCCATGTGCCTTGAATATTACTTGGCACATAGTAGGTGCTCTGTAAATATTTTTTGAATTAATGATTAAATGACTTCAATAATTCCAATAAAGTGTGTGTGATCACAGTAGAGTACTGCTAGGGCAGTGTGATGACGGCTGCTCAACTATGTATTAGAAAAGATTTCCATCTGTCTGAAATTTAAATTCAGTCCTGCCTGATAGCAAGAACTTGGGCTGGAATTTTCTCAGGATTCCTTCCAATCTGAGATTCTGGGATCCGTGCCCCTTACTGTGTCCTGAAGTGTCCTCCTTGCACCTGGTTCTTAGCAATGTTCAGATTAAAGAGCTACTGTGGCCAAATGGTTGGTGAAATGGAGGCCTGGCCACCATTCTTAACAGAACAATCAATCACCTTCCTAAAAGAGACACTGCCAAAATTCTACTCAGGTTATTTCATAGCTGATGTAATAACAAAGACTCCCATTTGTAGTGTACCTTCTACATTCCATTCATCCTGCGTACCTCTTGGCTGGTTCTTACACCAGCTCTGAAGAGTAGGTATTATCCTCCTCCTCATCTTGCATATATGGAACTGAGGCCCAGAGAAGATTCCTGACGTGCCCAAGGTCGCAAAGCTGGAAAAGGAGGGAGCTGGGATTCCAACCCAGGTCTATCTGGCTCTGATGTCTGGGCTGGTTCCACAACAGTCTATAGAGGGCCAGCTCCTTAATGCAGGGGGTAGGTGACATAGATATCAACTTACCTAATGCTAATTTAGGAAAACAATCCTGAAATAAAGAGTTATACAGTGAAAAGAAGACTCTGTGATTAGCCTGCTGGCCCAGCAGGAATGGCGAGTTTCATCTACTGCTGATCAGAGCTATTTGGCCGCTGGAGATTCAGGAGCAGGACTGTGGGGACCTTGAAGAAAACTGTTTTCAAAGACAATGAGCCCATGAAGGGCTTCTCTGGGTTGTGCCAGGGAGGGCAATGTCCTCACAGTGATGAGAACATTCTGGGGGACAGGAACAAGGAAGAGCTTGTAGGGAAACAAGTGTGCCAGAAAGTCCCTGGACAGAGGACAGATGGGTTCATGGTTGGGGGGTGGAGAAAGGGAAGAGAAGTAAATGTGTCCACAGCAGGAGACTTGGAAGAAGAGTTGTGTAGCCCCCTGGCTTCTCCCAGAATGTTCTTCACTGCATACCTGGCTGAAGTACCCTTTCATTCTTCTCAGAGCCTTTCATTATGAGAGAAGGGAACTTAGTGGAGCAGTGAGGGGAGACCTTCATGGGCAACTGCCACCAAAATCCCACTGAGTCCTTAAATGTCCCCTCTTCAGAGAGGCCTTCCCTGACCTTATCATATAAATCAGAACCCCCTACACACCATTATTCTCTGTTACTATACCTGAGAATTCTCTCAGTAGCATTTCTCACAATTTGTAATTACATATTTATTAATTTTCCTGTTCATTGTCTGGCTCTCTGCCTAGGGCAGAGACCATCTTTGTTTTATTCACCAATGGGTATTCAGAACCTAGAACAGTGCTGGTGTGAGGTAAATGTTCAAAAACTGTTTGTTGGGTGACCAAACGAATGAATGGTGTCCAGGTGGCTGATCCTTAAATTGGATGCTTTGTGGCATGTAAATAAATGGTGTCCAGGTGGCTGATCCTTAAATTGGATGCTTTGTGGCATGTAAATAATTTACCGTGTGCTCATCCTCCTCAACATTTGCATATAGATGAAATCAGGTTAGAGTTAATACCAAGGAGAGGTCCAAAGGGGAAATAAGGACCACGCCCCAGGAGGTGCCAGGGGACGTGCTGCTCCTTTGCCTGCTGAGGTGAAGGGAATTCTGGGCTGCTCCTATGGAAATGAGCCTAAGTCAATTTCGCCCCGGCTCTCTCCTCACCCACACCAGCCCCCAGTCAGTGCTCAGTTGGGGGCAGAACACGGTGGGGCAGGTCATGCTGGGGCCTGCCCCACTTTGTGCTGCCAGGAGCTCCAGCCGGCTCCCATCAGATATATGCCAGTTGTTGGCAAGCAAGAAGGAAACAAGCTGTAGCAAGGACGAAGTCTGCCACCCCCCTAGATTTGAAGTAGTCAGCTGGGGGAAGCAAGCTGGTACTGGGTTAAAGAGACCATTATTTGCCATCTAATAAGCAGGTGTTTTGGGGGCAGATTATTTCTCAGCAGGTTGAAAAACAAGGCATGCATGATATTTTGTTTCTCCTTTGGCCTTGCTGATAGCAGGGTTCACGCTGAGGTCTGGTCGACCTTTAAGGGGAACCTTGAAATGTAGATAAGCACACAGTGGTGGAACAGATGGATGCCATTCCCTACCCTTTGCCTACCCATTCTTCTTGATGCCATCCTTTGTTCATGAACTGCGAGACCTCTGATAAATGTCATTAGGGAAGAGAAATGGAGCCAGGAGACTCCTCACTGTGGCCTCAGCAAGAGGCATCGCAGTCCAGATTGGGCCACTCTTTGGGACTTCTAAATGGTATGAACCTAGAGAAGGAAAACCAAGTTCTACTTGTCTGCATGAGCCTTCATATCAGAGACATTTATGTCATGGGTCTGCACATTTAGAGATGCTGATCATTTTTTTCCACTAGTGTGAGGGGCTTGGATGACTTTGGTTTATCCTCACATCTCCCTGCCTCTTATTTATTGTAAGAAAATTAAGACTTGGCCGGCCCTGTGGCTTGATGGTTAAGTGCGAGTGCTCCACTACTGGCGGCCCAGGCTCAGATCCCTGGCGCGCACTGATGCACCGCTTCTCTGGCCATGCTGAGGCCGCGTCCCACATATAGCAACTAGAAGGATGTGCAACTATGACATACAACTATCTACTGGGGCTTTGGGGAAAAAGAGGAGGAGGATTGGCAATAGATGTTAGCTCAGAGCCAGTCTTCCTCAGCAAAAAGAGGAGGATTAGCATGGATGTTAGCTCAGGGCTGATCTTCTTCACACACACAAAAAAGAAAATTAAGACAGTTTGTTGATCATCTACTATATTCCAGGCACTGCACTAGGCATATTTTCCAAAGTTGTTTCATTTTATTTGCATTAAAACCATTTTGGGATAGATTATTATTCCTTGTATATACATGAGAAGACAGAGGTTCAGAAAAGTAGAATAAATTTACTAAGCCCTCTCAGCTAAGAGGCTGAGTCAGAATTTGAACCCAGGGTGTCTGGCTCCTAAACGTGTGTGTTCTTCCCATCCAGGGCCCACAAAGAACAAGAATACTGGAACAAATTAGAGAGTGACCAGACTACATTGCTTATCAGTAGGAATCTAACACTCAAGATTGTTTAGCGTGTCTGCTTTTACTCGGGAAAGACAGAGGAGGGGAAGTGGGGTGGCATGACAAAAAGCTTTTTCATGGGGTTCAGTCTGCTCTCGGCACCCTGTCCCATCCAGATAATCTGAGCCTCTCTAAATAGGCCACCTTGTTATTGTAACATTGGAGAAAAGGTCATTTCGCTAGGGACCAAGCCCAGCTTGGACCAGAACTTCCATCCAAGGTAGCTGACGACTCTTATTGGATAAGAGCCACACTTTTGCAGCCCTGCCTAGGAATATCTGTGGGAATAAAGGCTCCAATAAAATGAAGGTTAGCCTGCATGCTTGTCTTCTGCCCTAAACCAAGGGCAGCTCAGCAAGTCAGAAATCCCAAAGCAGTGACTTTTCTCGGAGGCCAGTGACTTAGTCACCCCAACCTCTATCCAGCTGCTCCTTCTGCAGAAAACAAGCCCCGGACTCCGCCTTCTGGGATGGAGCATGAGCCCTACCGGCCCTCAGCAACCCAGCTCAGGAAGTTTGCTGCTTCCTCATTTGAGATGTATTATTAAACTGTAATCATACTGTGAGGGGAGCCAGCCAAAGCAGTGGCTATTAATAGGGAGGTGAAGAAAGCTGACTCAGGAGGAAGCTGCTTAGGCTGGAGGGGAGAGCCTGGCCACCCTGGCCTACAATCCTCTGCAAGAGGTCAGCAAGAGAGAGACCTGAGCTCATTTGGTTCCTGGGCCGGAGTGAGCGCTATCTGGATTTCTTAACTTTGGAAATAGAACCCTGAAGCAGTCCTGATCAAAGGGACATAGAGCCGTCCTTCCCGGGTCCTTGGGGAGTCTCGGGGCCCTGAGAACAAATGGCTTAGATAGCTATGACTCAGCAGAGCACAATTCTCCCCTCACAATGTCAGCAGTCGATGCGACTTGGAAAGGGACGCTGGGGCTACATTTTCGTGGCCTCCCTCAACTCAGAAGCCAGTGCGACCCAGCCCTTAGCTGGCCGGAGCTCCCCATGGGCAGAGACGTCTGAGTAGGGAGATTCTATTTCTGGCTTCTTGATAAGGCTTGGGGAAGTGGGTGTTACAGAAAGGTGGAAGTGGAGAGGTGAAGGTCCACAGCGAATGAAGGGCATGGTGCAGAAAAGCCTGATAATGGGGCAGAAAGTTTTCAGTAATTTCTGTAAATGCAATGCATTTTTCAGGAAGTTAAGATTTTAGCCATTTGGTACACTTGCCATCATCTGGCAGCTGGAAGCAGGACAGATCCCAAAATCTGGCCCATGGCACACCATAGGAAAACTAGAACTGCTCCTGGATGCCGGGGTCATAGTATCCCTTACTTTGTACCAGGCACTGAACACATGTTCTCTATATGCTGCTATGTTTAGTCCGCGCCAGCCCCCACAGGTGAGTATTATCACCTCTCTTCTCAGAGGGAAAAAGTGAGATCCAAAAAGGTAACGTGTCTTGGTCACGCAGCTAGTAGGTAACAAAGACAGGACTGAAACCTAGGTCTGTACGAGGCCAGAGGAAAAGCCAGGCTGCAGTAAGCTGGCTTTGTGCTGAGGCATGTCCCCTTCTTTTCTATTTCTTCTCCCTGGACCTGGTTATCCCCTCTCTGTCGCTGCTCTAGTCTTCACACTGAGGTCAGAGTGATGAAGGTCTGTGTGTGTGTTGCTAGGAGGTGCTGAGAAGTTGGGGGAGTGACATGTGTAGCCTTCTCCCCTTTCTTTAGTGGGTAGGGTATGCCTAGGTGTGTTTCCTCTAAGTGAAAGATTCGTTTTGGTTCCTGGATCTCTGAAGAAGGAGGTTCAGGTGGAAACAGGATGTGGGAGATTTTTTTCTCTTACTTCCTAAAAATATTTGTTAAGCACCTATTGGGCTCAGCTCTAGGTTGCCTGGGCACTTTCAGATTATAGAACAGTTTAACAACACTATCGCTCTGGTGTTTTTCTCTGCTGTTCTCACATATTCTAGACCTATCCACATGTGTACATGTCTTTAGAGTTAAACAAGTGTCATAATCTCCTCACCTACAGGTGTCTATAAAATATCTTTTCACAGAAAAGAAAGAAGTGACTTTCCTTCTACTGATTGCCATATGGGCCACTTCCTGAACCTGAAAGAGATCCCGGGACCCCAAACACCAGGTCCTAGGCTCTAGCAAACACATAAGGGAAGAGTTTCAGCCTCCAGCTGTCAGGGAGCCCAAAATACAGAGGTGGGACCAGACTAGGCGTATGGGAATTTGTTCATTTTATAGCCATATTATAGCCCCTTCTGAGAGAGCTGGAGGGTAATTTCCAAGCCCTCAGGCAGTAGATAATCTAAGCTATTGTTTTCGGGTCTTATGTGCTCTTTCGGTCAATTCTTTTTTCTTCCTTTTTTGAAAGGCAAACAAATAGTCTAACGGCAATAACGGTCAACAGGATGGTGGCAGCATCCGGGTTCAGACAGCAGCCTCCTCTTGCTGTAGTCAAAGTTAATTAATTCCCACTGTACCTTGAACTAGGTCACCTGCAGGTCTGTTTTGGGGCCTGACCTGTGGCAGACAGTCACATTGCAGGGGAGGGCATTACTAATCTGGGTCTTGGTGTGCTGTCCTGGGCAGGGGGATGGAGAAGGAAGTATGTTTCACCTTTGTGTGGGATTGTCTCTCCTCTTTTCTTCCCGGGAGGTGACCATTTTCAGATCTGTGGGTGGGGAGGAAAATCTTCTCTTCCAAAAATAATCTCTTGCTGCAGTGGGGTTTGAAGCTGGACCAAGCTGCTAGCGCTATTTTTACCCAGCTTGCAGTTCAGGGTGTAAATAGCAACTCTGGCTGTTTTTTCCCCACAGCTGACAACAGAGTCGACCTCTTTGAGGCAGAGGCATTCTGGCATTTTGCACAGAGGAAACAGAACAAAGGTTGCCTTTAGGCCCAGAGGATGATTCCTTGACCACTGGGTCAGTATACAAACAGGGGTGGCATCTCCATGGTTCTGTTATCTCCGTGTCTGCTGTAAACACCAGGTCCTATGATAGCTGCTCTGCTGAGGCTGATTTAAAGAAGCGCAGTGTGGAATCACGAGGAAAAGGCAGGCCCGTAAATCTCTGCCTGAGCACACTGAGGGTTTCAGGAGCTTGAGCAGCTCTGGACTCCAGCTGGCTGTCCCCCTCGCCCTCCCTTGTGTATTAGCAAGCACTTCCTCCAAGGTTGCTACCCTTGGAGGATTTCTTGTCCCAAACTCACCGGATCAGGAGCTGAGGAAAGACAGAAAAAACATCCACTCGAGGCTGCCCAGCACAGAATGACTCTAAAAATATGCGCCTCCTAGTATTCAAGTGATTGGAGGACCCACAGTCTTCAGCATTGGAAAGTGTCATTTAGAGGTCACGGTGAGAGGACTGGCTCCCTCCATGCCGCACAAGAGCAGAAGCTGTGAGAGACTAACCAAAGCCTTGAGTTAGTTATGTCTCCACTTGGCCTGGGTGAGGTGGGAAGTTGAGTTTCACAGAGGGGCCCTCGTTGGTACTGTTGATGAGCGAGATAAACCAGCAAAGACTGAGTTGGCAATTCCCTACTGCTTCTCCTCTGGGGAACAAACAGACTTCAGTGGCTTTTCTCTGAGGCCAAGTTTCTTACCCAAATCTTTCCCTGGGGTCTTTGGTCTGAAATTAGGAAGGAGTTAGGAATCAGCAGAAAATCACTCTTCGTTATGAATTACACAGCAACCCCTCATGGAACTGCCCATTCCCTTCCTCTAGGTACACATCAATCAATCATCAATCAATCAGAGAATTTCTCAAATATCCACCACATACTCAGAACTGGGCGTTTAGGCACATGGTTCAAGTTTCATGTTCTTCCAGCAGATGACGTGTGGGGTAAGAAAAGGATTGGAGGACAGATAAGTAGCTGAGCAATCCCCAGATCTGCTTTTTTGAAAGTGGTTTCTGTGCAGCAACTTGGAATTGATTCTGGGCAGCTGTTAATTGCAAAACTCACTGCCAATTATCGATAGCTAAAGAGGCACCGGAGAGTTTCTGATGGTAAAAATAGGGGCAGGTAATAGATGAGAAAATAGCTTTGCCTTTGAGAAGAGAGGATGGACACATATTGTCTCAAACTGCTGTGTCGTGGGTTTCCATTGTTAGCTTGGGTTCTCTCCCAGGACTGGCCAGCAAAGCCTACTTAGTGACCTCCAGCAAAAAGTCCACCAAGCTGCGCAGGATGAGAGCAGAGCTTTGTCTTAGCAGCCAGACCAGAGGAGATCCGTGCTGGATTCAGGGCTTCCTGGTTCTCACTATGCTCAGAGTCACATTAAATGACCAATACCACAGTTTTCAGTAAAACCCGTTGAATTTTAAATGTACTGTTGACTAGTTTAGGGGTTATTATTGTTCAGTTGATCTGGTAGTTCATTTGTCCACCAAAGTTCAAATTTACCAACAATGGTTTTCTGGGAAAGCCTCTTGAAACCTGGATGGTAAATGTTTACCTTAAAAAAGAAAAATAAACTGAAGCAGGAAGAAGTGCCCTGGTGAGTAAGACCGAAAGCCCATGGCAGACAGTCACATTGCTAGACTGACCGTTTGTTTTGAAAAATGCTCCCAGTCCAAGCCTTGACATTGGGGATATTGGGAACATGGTAACAGACTTCCTGTCTAGTATTTCCCTGGATTTCCTGGAATCCAATTTGAAGTGCCATTTTTCCCTGCGCCACCAAGGAGTTAAACTTTGGCTCTGCTCCCCTGGTGACTAATAGGCACCGTGTGGCTCTGAGATCAGCGAGAAAGAAACTGACAGTCGGTGTGGGAAGTGTGTGAGATTTCAGTGCTCTTGAAATGCCTTTGATGGGCATAGTGAGGGAGTACAAGGATTATTGCCATGTAGTGCCCCTGATTGTGATTTTATCATGAATTCTTGTTTCTTCCTTTGAGTCTTGCATGATTTTAAATGAAGATCTCTGACTCCTTTAGGAGCTTGATATTACTGTGGTGTGTGAGTTGTTCCATGGAGAATGATATTTTAGGCAACAAACTAATTCCAGCACTTTGAAAAATAACCCATTTTGGTTGAAAACAAAGCAGAATCACTTGACGTGACCAAATCGCATTGGACATGTGTTAGGGAAGCTTCATCTTCCTGTTCTTGCTGTTTTCTTCCTTGTGAAAGGAGCCCAATTAGCATAACACTCCTGGTTTCTCTCCACCCCCCCCACCCCCCACCCCCGCCCCGCCAAGGAAGGAGGAGTGGTTTAATATGACTGGTGAATTTGGAAGGAGAAACTATGCCTCATACCATCTTCTCTTTCTTTCTTCTTGGGAGTCAACACTCCTCCCGCAGGGTGGGAAGGGGAGGCCCATTTTGGCCCAGCTGCCTATCGCTGAGTGGCCAAGTCTGTCTAATCTTGAGGCTGAGTACTGGGAAGCTTATTTGCCTGACAATATAAGCCACATTCTCTAATATCAGCTTTATTAGTAATAAAGGTTATTTTCAGTCCTCATCTAGCTTACTGCTATCTTCTGATTCAGTTCAAAGCTCGCAGCAAAGCAGGGTAGAGGGGGCAACTGCTATTTGGGAGCCTCCTCAAAGACCCCAACATACTTACTAGGAGACTTCCTGGTGGTTAGAAAAAGCCTTGTGTTGGAGTGAGATCCTGGCTTCTAGATCCACATCACTACTTTCCTATAGAACTCCAGGGTCTTTAGTTGTCAAATGAGTAAAGGGGAGTTTATAGGTGTTCCTTCCAGCTGAAATGTATCCATTCAAAACTTATTTATTGAACGCCTACTATGTGCCAGGGGGTACAATGATGATCAAGATAGACAGTCTCTGCTGTCACACAGTTTATAACCTAACTAGGGTGTATCGATTAGAAAGTTTAATGTTCCAAGTGAAATGAAACAATCTCAAACAGGCTTAAGCAATAAAGAAAATTTGTTGGCTCACTGGGGATCCAGGCACAATTTGATCCAGGACTCAAACAACAGGGATCCATTTCTTGGCTCTGCTTCCTCTGGGTGGGATTCATTCTTTTGTCACCACATGATGCAATCCTTCCTCTCTCCTGGCAGCTTCAAGCTTTCCACTATGGCTGCAGCAGAAATAAGACATACCATTCACCAGGCTGAGAAGAGTTCAAGTCCCAACATTCCCTGCAAACCCCTGAGGTCCACTCTGATTAGACCATTTTAGATCACAGGCCTCTCCGAAAGCAACGACCGGGCTCACTGTGATAGGATACACTGACGAGCTTAAGCCCAGTGGGGACCATCGCTGGATGGAGGAAAGTTGGGCCCTCTCCACATGGCTCAGAAATTGGAGACCTACTAGGAAGAGAGAGGGGGCAGCAACCAATAACTGTCCATGATAGAAAGACAATAAATAAAATGATAATTCTGCTTTAAGGGAATGATTCAGCCTGTAGAAAATGCAGGTACCTTATTACCTGGTGAGTCAAGCACAGACCTGGGAATCCAGAGATTTGGATTCCAAATTCTGTGCAGGTCCCCTATACACAACAGGCCCTTAGGAAAGTTCTGGAGGTTAATAGACTTTGCTCCTTGATCTGACCTCTCTGGAACTGCCCTTGGGTTGGAGCCTCCTGCTCTGTGATCCCTTTTCTCTTTTTGGAAAGGAGGATAACATGTGCCTGAGAGGAACACTAAAAGGATAACTGAGGTGATATTCACAAAGCATCTGTCACTAAATAAACCCAAGCTATCTATTGGCATGTGCTTGTTATTCTTTCAGATTTAAGGACTTTCAGCCAGTGGTTTAGGGGCTAAACATTAACCACATTGGGGCAGATCAGTACTCTAGGAGCTATGAGCCGTGAAGATACACAGGCTTTCAGTGTTCTAAGTTCAAAAGATCTGCGTGAAACAAGATATAATTCAAATTAATTGAAAATGAACAGAAATGTAGTCAAACATGCCAGGTAGGAAGAGTGCTTTAGCTAAGTACTACAGCTAGTTCTCAAGAGGTATGAGTGCTTGCCAAGCAACTCAGAAGTACCAGTGGGGCCTGAGCAATCCTTTACCTTTTCATTCAACAAACATTTA